GCAAAGGTAAGTAAGTTAAGTTGGCTGTGCTTCTGACACAAAAAACATTGGGCTGTTTAGGGCAGATGGTTAATGCTAATGAGACGTGGTAAGTTTAGCTAGAAATATTATGAAGTACTAGGAAGATCAAGCCAAGAATATTAACTTGCATATGGTAGAAGAGGGAAAAAAAGAATGTTTTTAAGTAAAGTGGTAATATTATGTCAAAGTATAACAAAATTCTTTCTTACTATGAGTTAATGTCTTATTTTAGCATTTTGTAGAAAGGAAAAGTAAGTAGTGAACAGACGTTAAAACTTTTATACATAGTAACATTTACTCATCCCTAAAAAATTCACTGCTGTATGATGTCAAGACAATTACTGCTCACAACAATCCTAAAGCACAGAGTAAAACAGCTCCACATGAAGTCCTTAAAAGAGTAGCTCATCAGATCTCTTTACCTGTGGAGCTGCAGGATGTGTTCCTATCACTACCTCTCAGGAGCTAAGTGTTTAACCATTGTGCCACTGTTGCTATTACCGTGCTCATTAACATTCTTTTAAAAATAGAAGAGGCTGTGGCTCCAGGGATATCATTACTGATGTCAGCTGGATCCTGGCTGAAAGTAAGGAATATCAGAAGAATGTCTATTTGTGCTTTATTAACTATGCAAAGGTGTTTGTGTGGATCATGACAAGTTGTGGCTGACATTGAGAAGAATGGGAATCCCAGAGCACTTGATTGTGCTCATGAGGAACCTGTACCTGGAGGAGGAAGCTATTGTGCAAACAAAGCAAGGGAGCACTGAAAGGTTTGAAATGGGGAAAGGAGTGCATTCCTTTTATTAAAGGAATGTATTTTATCTCCATACCTGTTCAATCTATATCCCGAGCAAATTATCTGAGAAGCTGGTCTCTATGAAGAAGAATGTGGTATCAGGATTGGAGGAAGACTCATCAATAACCTGAGTTATGCAAATGACACAACCTTATCTGCTGAAAGTGAGGAGTATGTGAAGCACCTGTTGCAGAAGATCAAGGAATATATATGGACTGCATCTCAACATCAAGAAAACAAAGATTTTTACCACTGGACCAATAGGCAGTGTCATGATGGATGGAGATGAGATTGAAACTGTCAAAAATTTCATCTTGCTTAGATGAACCAAAATTAACACCCTTGATAAGAGCAGTTAGGAAATCAGACAACGCACTGCATTGGGGAAATCTGTAGTTAGGAACCTTCCAAATTACTGAGGAGTAGTTACATCTGTTTGAGGACTAAGATGCGTCTGATTCAGGCCATGGTTTTTCCAATTACTAGCTATGCATCTGAGACCAGGACAATGAATAAGGATAACAGAAAAAGAATTGATGCCTTTGAGCTGTAGTTCTGGAGAAGAGCACTGAACATTCCATGGACAGCCAAGACAACAAACAGATATGTCTTGGAGAGGGTACAGCTGGAGTGCTCTTTGGAGGCAAGAATGATGAGGCTTTGCCTCACATACTTTGGACATATTGCTAGGAGGTGATAATCCTTGGAGGGGGTCATGATGTTGGAAGGGTGGAGGGTTGGTGAAGGAGAGGAAGACTCTCAACCAGGTGGACTGACAAGGTTGACTGCTGCAATGGGCTCTTGTGTGTAAGGAAGTGTGATGATGGCGCAGGACAGAAGCAGTTTCAGATCTTTTGTTCATAGGGTCTCTGTGAGTCATACTCAATGGCACCTAATAACAAGTAGTTCCTATTTAGTAATAGCCTATATTTTCTCAAAAAGCCAGGTAACTGTTCTTTTAGGATGGCAGTTTTTAGCACTTGTTTTAAGGCAAATTCAGTTGCTAATCAGAAGATTGGCTATTTAAATTTAGTAGCCTCAACATGGGAGAAAAAGATCTTTAGATCTGTCCCTAAAAACATTAGATCTTAGTCAACTATGGGAAGTTCTTTTGTCAGATAAGGTCACTATGTACGGAATTGACTCAATGGCACAAAACAGCATTCTTCTAACAGATTACATGAGTGATGTAAACAGCTAAATGCTGAATTGAAAAGATAGCAGTTTAAACCTACTCCAAGATGTCTTAAAAGAAAGGTCTGGAAAAACAAGGAACTCATACTATACAAAATGGATGACCCTGGAGGACATTATGATGTTGTTGTTGTTATGTGCCGTCGAGTTGCTTGCGATTCATAGCGACCCTATGTACAACAGCCCTAAACCCTGCTCTATCCTGTGGCAATCTCACTGCCTCCGACACACCTATCCCGATTAACCCAGTCACTGAATCAATCCACTTCATAGAGGGTCTTCCCCTCCTGCGCTGTCCCTCCACTCTGCCCAGCATGATGTCCCTCTACTTTGGAGGACATTGTGCTGAGTGAAATATCTCAGTCACAAAAGGACAAATATTACATTACTATTATAAAACAGGACTGACCTGGGAGTTGGGGGTAAATTAGGAAGAGAGAGGATAAATAATGAGAAACAGATGAGGGAAAGAACTGTTTAAAAGCAATATACGATTAGGTATTATTTGCATGACAACAGTACAGAAAAAGAGGTGCATAGCAAAGTTGACTTGGGGGCAGAGGGAGAGAGAAAATTGTGCAATAATGAAGGAATCTTTATTTATTTATTTTTTAATTTTATTATTTTTTGTGCGTATACTATCAAATCAGATCTGACTGGTACAGGAGGAGACTGCCCCTCCTTCTCCAGCAAAGCATCTGGTGAATTCGAACTGCATACCTCTGGGATTGCAGTGCAGCTTCTTACCACTAGGCCACCAGAGCTCCCTTTAAAGAATCTTTTTAAAGAGAAAAGCAAATTGGAGGAGGGTAGGGAGGAAAATGTGCAACAATGAATGAATGGAAATCCAAGTTTTCTGTAAACTTTTGTTAAAATTTCAATAAAAACTAAAATTTAAAAAAGAAGAAAAAAAAACAAGTCTGGTGATCTGCTTCTGAAAGGCTACAGTACTGAAAATCCAGTGTGTATAGTTTTACTCTACACATGGGGTCACCATGAATAAGAATCAACTCAAGTAGTTTGTATTTTTAATTACCTTGGTACTGTTACTAAAATCTACACAGTCTTAGAGATATGTTTAGTATATTTTGTTTGCAACGTACATTATCATTTCAGTAAGTTGTTACAATCTGTCTCATTACTACTATTTGCACAACTGTTATTTTCACTGAGAAGGACCGATGCAGGGACAGTGGGCTCGAGTATGCTGGAGATAATGAGGATGGTGCAAAAGATGCCAAGGTTCTAGTCAGTTATTAATGTTGTGTTGTTGTTGTTTAATGCCGTCGAGTCGTAGATGACTCATAGCGACCCTATGAACGAACAGCCTGAGCACATAGAGTTTCCGGAGGCAAGCCATTTTGGAAGTGGATGCCACTCCTGCTTCCAGGCTTGCTTTAGTCAGGAAGCTCCAGCCAACACTGTCCACCATGGGTGCCCATTACCACGATTGGAACATCACTGTCACAGGCTTCAGCATCACAGCAACCACGAGTTACCTCTGTACAGCAACACACAGACCAGTGCTATACCACCTAGAAGAATGTTTGACAGGAAGACAATCTGGGCCCTTTGGGCTTAAGGCTGCCTCCTGGTTCAAACCCTAGGCCCAGGCTGGCTAGCCTCACTCCAGGGACAGAGCAAACCTGCACTTCAAACACATTCCCGGAAAAGCAGTTGACTCCAAAAGCTTGCTACGATTCCTGAACTCCCACCACCACGCTCCTGCCTTCTGGCAAGGAGAGCTTCCCAAGAGCTGGGAGGAGCCGGCCAAACCAGGAACAACATGGCCACTACTTCCCAGCTGCCTTGGGCTTAAGGCCGCCTCCTGGTTCAAACCCTAGGCCCAGGCTAGATAGCCTCACTCCAGGGACAGAGCAAACCTGCACATCAAACACATTCCCCGAAAAGCAGTCGACTCCAAAAGCTTGCTACGGTTCCTGCACTCCCACCACCACGCTCCTACCTTCTGGCAAGGAGAGCTTCCCAAGAGCTGGGAGGAGCCGGCCAAACCAGGAACAACATCCAGTTGTTAATAGGGTTGCTATAAGTTGTGGTTGACCTGATAGCACCTAATAACATTTTCACCAAACAGAAGGTCAGCTATGAGTTGGTTCTGATAGCAATGAGTTGTTGCTAGCATTGATTTGATGGAAAACAGCAAAAGGGTCTTAATTTTACAAGTTCTTTTTTTTCTCTAAACTAACATTTTCTCTAGCACCTTACTAAAAAAAAATACTCAGAATAGCCACAATTTATTTTCTCGTACCCTCCCTAAGCTGCGTAATATACAAGTAAATAGTATTACTATACCTTATACATAATAAAAATCCAGTGGTTTAGAAGAAAATGGAACAATACTAGTATAAAGCAGAAGCTAAGAATATTAGCTCTTCAATCTTTAGTTGTTATAAATTTTAATTTAGAAAATGTTCAATCTTAATTTATGTAAGATATTAAAATAAAAAATTCATTAGTAATTCCTTTTTACAGGCAAACATTTTTACAATTTATGCTGTTTTGCGAGTTCATATTTCTTTTAAAATAAATTGTCAATATTCATGAAAACAAACGAAACCCAGACAACTACTCTGATTAGGTGTTGAGAAAGCAAAAGAAATAGAATCTATCACTCCTAAAATATTTCATTTAGTGAAAGATTTAGGAAGAAAATAATAAATATACAAAGTACAAAATACAAACAAATATGCATAAGCCATTTGTTTTCAGTTATTTTGTTATTACTATTAACACTTTAGATTGTTGTCTACAATCATGATAGAGTTCCACAACTGTGATATCGTTCTCTATTCCCCAAATTCTTTTGACAAGAAATAAATATATCCTGCATGTTTACAAGTAAGAAAAAAGTTTAACCATTTAACAGACCTACTGCCACCTCTCCTACATTTTTCCTTTCTCATTCTTATAGCTTGCTCATATACAGAATTTCTCCAAGCATACCTCCTAAATTCATGACAACCTACCTGGGAGCTAGGCTGCTTAGGTTCATCCATTCTCCCAGGAGATTCACTTCTGGCTCTGTGTCTCTCCATCAAGGGAACAACACTGCCAGAGGGGCTAAATCTGTTGGAAGAGGAACATAAAGAGGACTAAAAGTAGTGTCAAATAATTTAAAAATGGTGTCAATTTCCCTCTTGAGAGGCTAACGAAGGAGGAACAAATTGAACAGCCAGGGAATGGAGAAATAATTCCACATAGTCAGATCAGATTTGAAATAAGATGTCTACTAAAAAGGTTTGCTACACTCAAGAAATAAAAAATTACTTAACAAATAGACCATATGGGCTGGTGAAGATGAGGCTCAATTATAACCTCTATCTTTACATAAGAATACCTGGGTGGTACAACAGGTTAAGTACAAGTTTTAACCCATATTGAGGTACCTTCAAGGTAATCTCCTTTCAAAAGGTCCTTAAAAGATATTTAGCCTTAAAAACCCTAGGAGCAGTTCTATTGTACATTGACTCAATGGCAACAAACAACAACCCTTACACAATAGTAGAACACAAACAAAAAACAGGGATGTAAATTAACATTGCTGTTGATGGCACTTAACAACAACAACAACAACGACGACGACGACTACGAGGAGAGCTCTGTTGGCCTAGTGGATATAAAAGTAATGTTACCAAGCCAAAGGTGGGTGATTTTAATCTGCAGCCCTCAGGCCTGGTTTTAATTGTTTTTGGCCAAACATTCTTCTAAGTGTTATAGCACTGGTTTGTCCATTTGCTGTAGAGAGATAACTCATGGTTGCTGTGATGCTAAACACTGTGACACTGATGTGTCAATGTGAGAATGGCTACCAATGGTGGAGAGTGTTTGGTGGAGCTCCCCAATTAAAACAAGGTTGGAAGCAGGAGTGGCATCCACTTCTGAAATAGCTTGCCTCTGGAAACTCGATGAACTTGGAGAAATGATGAAAGTTATACAAGTGTTCAGGTCTTTCATTCATAGGGTCGCTATGAGTCACCTATGCCTCAACGGCACTTAACAACAAATTAACATTGAGTCTACAATTCTGTATAAAAAAACTCAAAGTTTTCGGTTGTTCCTTCCCTCACTTCCCATGAAAATCTATTATGTATTTCCAACAGATGATACAGATTGTGGAGATTAAAAATGTAAAGATATATTTAAACTGGTACTACTTCTGACATAGTTCTTATAGCATCAGAACTATTGTTTGAGAGTATTTTAGCTATAAAACTGATAAAAAAGAAAATATACAAATCTAGACTATCTTTTTTTTTAATTTTTTTTAAATCTAGACTATCTTAAATGCTCTACTACCCATAATGTAGAATAAGAGAAAAGTAAACCTTCAAGGCATTTCTGTAAGAGAATACTGGAATAGGAAAATATGGCAGTAGCGATTATTAAAGAAAGCTCAATGCTGTTGAGTTGAAATGAACTCATAGTTATACTCTAACTGGTTTTCAGAGGCTGTAAATCACATGGAGAAGACTGCCCACCTTTCTCCTGCAGAACTGCTGGTGGACTGGAACCACAAAATAGAGGCTTGACCTTTGGGTTAGCAGCATAACTTCCTACAAACTATGTGAGCAGAGGTCTACGGGCATAGTGCTATTGCTATATGCCATCAATTCAGAAACAACTCATAGCTGACCCTCAAGCAGGTTTTAAGACACTGTAAACCATACAGTAGGAGAATGTCTACCTTTCTCCCGCAGAACAGTTGGTGTATTTTAACTATGTGCCTTTGGGTTGGCAGCCTAATTCCTTGCCAGTACTTTCAAGTCTGAGGTGACAGCAGTCATCAATGAAAGAAAACAGGGAGAATATGATAAAATGGCAACTAAAAAAAAAAAAAAAGAATTAAAACATCCCAAATGATTTTTAGGAATTACTGTGCTCCTATTAACTTAAAAAAAGATCACTGCTGGTACCATTATTTTCTCCAGTTTAGTATGCAGAGACAAAGAAAAGTAAATAGAGCTGTAAAGGAAAATTAAATTTCCCAAGTCCACCTACCTGTGTAATAACATACCAAGGAAGGGCAATGTTGCTGCCAGGTTCCCCTGATGATCAGCTCCCTGCCTGGAATTCCGAGGAAGCCCTGACAATTACTGATCCTAGTGTGGCTGCAGATGCTAGTCTGATTCATGAAGTGTCTAACTTTATTATAGTTCTCACAACATTGAGAATACTTCAGGACTAGGAGCTTCCTGCTTTAAAAAAATAAGAATGCAAGTGTTTTGGCACACCTCCAGTTTCCCCCATAGCAGTTTATTTGGCTAACATCATCAAGTAGAGGAGATGCTCTCTGTAAAACAGAGGGCTCACTTCTGTGATGTTTGCACAATATCCATTAAAGGAACCACACACACATACACAAAATCTCTTACCTGTCAATTTCACTGCTAGTTGGCCGAGCCATCTTAGCTCCTGAGGACCCTAAAGTGTAATTCTCCTGTCCTACAGAACCATGGCCTGTGGTGTCAATCACCATGGCTGTGACCTCCTCTGCACTACTCCCATCTTCTCCAGAAGGCTGATTCTCAGGCCCAAGCCACTCCTCCAGATTCTCCGTTTTGATATGGACTGCTCCAAGAACCCTAACTTCATCATCACTCCGGGTCCCCCGGTCTGCTACTCCTGTCTCCACATACCACTGTCCTGCTCTGTTGATCCGAAGAATGGGCTCTCGGCTCTCTACATCAGAACTCTGTTCAATTATCTGAGGACTAGTAGACTCCTCAGGGGGACTTAGCTCCCTGATGTCCAACACAGCACTAACCTGACTTCGACGGTTTCCCTTTGGAGCATTATGCCTTGGGCTAAGGGAGCGGTTTAGATTTGGTGTAACCCTGTGAGACTCTGGAGGTCTCTCTTGATGCTTTGTCCTTGTTTGACTTAATTCAGCTTCAACCTCGGCCACATTAATTTTGAAATGAATGCCCTCCAGGATCTGTGTACATTTGTCTATAATATGCTGCATCTGCAGAAAACTGGCAGCTGTCAAGTAGCTGATGATATCTGCCAGTTGTAGACATATCCGTCCTGTATAACAGAAAGAAAGGAGCTGTTCAAAAACAGTAGGGTTCTTGATGACAGAAATGGAGACAGTACTCATCTCATTCAAAGACATGTGATCCCGGAAATAGGGAGAACTGGCAGCCAGGACGACTTTGTGAGCCCGAAAAGCTTGTCCTTGCACATTGACCACAATATCACAGAGGCGGCCCTGCATTCGCAGCTGGTTTAGATGGCTCAGTACAGAATTGCTGAAGTCAGGGATTTCCAGTTGTATGTTCCCACCTTTCTCCATGTTCTTGGCTGAGGGTGCAGGGAGGCATTCAACCCTGCTGAAAGAGGAAACCACATTCTCATTAGTAACTTTAATTTTATTCCCCTGACATTTCCCAATTCCAATGTGGCAATATTAAAAATATCTCATAAAACTTAAAAATATACAAGTAAAGAGTGTGGAAATAGAGGAGGTAACAGGTTTTGGGACTTTCTAAAGTCAAAGTTTTAATGTAAACTGAGCTAACACACAAAAAAGCAACTGCAAGATTCTAAAAATTCAGACTTAGCAGCTGACTATACTTTCTTCATTCTTCAATCATACCAGATCGAAAGAGAAATTCAACAGAATGGGGGGGGGAAATACAAGACTTTTTAAAAAAGCATTAATCATACAGTATATGCAGACTCAATATAAAAATCTTTTCTAGAGAGGAGGAAACAAAGCTTTCTGGATAAAAACAATTACACACTGGCTAATTAGACTTCTTACTATATACTTCATGTATAAAGAAACTAATACCCCACTATAACATGAACTAATATTTCAAAGCATGAGTTAAAGCCCTTACATAAAGGATTCTCAGTTCTGATGCAAACTCTATACTAAGAAAGGTACTACCGCTGTGTCAGGATGTAAAAAGCACAAAGAATACTTGAAATTCACTTTTCTCTCAGAAAGGTAAACCTGCCTCTGCGCAAATTAAAATAGGGCAAGTTTAAGGTGGCATTTTGACTCTGAAATTCAGTTCCCAGATGTTATAATAATTATAGCGCATTTATTAACCAAATACGAAAAAACTGAAAGAAAAACTAAGCCTGTAACTCAGTCTTGAGACTACACTTTGCGTCAATCCCAGGTGTAAGACAGTGATTTGAGAGCCACGTGTGTCCATGTATCTGTAAACCTATAATCTTAAGAGCTTATGCTAGCAAGCATTAGTTATTTTGCCCAGTATTTACAACATATATATCAATAAACAGGAAAGTTTATACACCAACTTTGGCCAATCTGACCTTTTTCCAAAGCGTTTTTGTTTGTTTTGAAACTTTTTAATCCAATAAGAGCCTCAGTCGAAGTCATCATGATTTCAGATGTGTATTTTGGAGCCTACACCAGCGCCTTTTTGTTTGTTCTTTCCGGCATTTCCCCAGTGAGGACGAATCCCCTGGAGTAAAGTCTTTCGCTACCATCGGCACTGGAGGGGTGAGAGCTGAAAAAGGCAGAATCGGGAACCGCATGGGGTCGGCTACTCTGATACTTGAACGTCTTTTGCCTGCGTTGGGAAGCGTGAGAGGGACGAAATGTCACCAAGGAACACCAAGGAGCAAGGTGTCGGGCAAGGCAGCCAGGGCTCAGGTAAGCGTAATGGACCGGGAAGGGGGCGGCGCCCCGGGACCGGGTCCAGGCGGTAGGCAGACGCCGGCGAGGAACTGGCCCGGAGGTGGGTGTGTGTATCTGGGTGTGTCCCGGCTGCGGTAGGACAGGGGGCCGCCCAACCCCTGGTCCTGAGGGAGGGGCCCCGTAAGGGGGCGGGTCCAGCAGTTCAGCCCGGCCAGGGGCCAAAAATGTGGAAGGTCTCCCTGTGCTTTAAGTAGGTGAAGGGAAGTGGCTGCGCGCCCGTGGAGCGGACTACAGCCTAAACGCGGGGAGCTGGTCCCACTGCAGGGCAACAGGACCGGGGTGCGAGGCCCGAGCCCAGTCAAGGAGCAGCACCTACCTCCGGGAGTGGAAATGGGCCGGAATGGGCCGAAACACCGTCCCGGAAGTGAAACCCCCACCCCCTTCCCCGGAGCGGGCGACGTGCCGGAAGGAAATCACTCACCCTTACACCGCCCTCTTCCCCCCCCCTCCCGCCCCCCCCCTCGGCAGTGCTTTCCCTCCCTCGCGCCCCCTCCCCTTCTCCTCTTCCACCCTCATCGAGGGAAGGGCGAGAGTCTTGCGTCACGTGGGGACTCGTGTCCCCGCCCACAAAAGCGGAACGAGGCGGGGCTAAGGGAATGGGTTGAACAGAGAAAGAAGAGATAGGGAGGAGGACCTAACGTCAAAGCTAACAGGTTGTGCGTCATGACGTCATGGGAAAGAAACCTTATATACTCGGGTCTGTGCCCCATCTCGGTCTTTCTAACGTTAGACGTTGCATGCTTTTGGTAAGTAGATTTTGGGATGCCTTTTCTTTGTTTAGGTCCTGGTCTCCAGAACTTTATAGTGGCAGTCGCTTCTTCTAGGCTAAATAGGAGTTTTCCTAGGTCTGTAAGATTCGGATGGCTCGTGATTACGCGTTGTTTTGTATACAATCTCAATGCCGTTGCAAGGATTGTTGGAGCAGAGAGGCCTATTTCTCGGGTGCCCTGCCTGTGATGAAGCTTATGTTGGTAGGGACATCTGAAACTTGATGAATGCCAACTGCTCTGATGGCGGTGCATACAGATCCTCCCAAGGTCTCTGCCTTAAGGCACTTGAATTTAAAATAAAAGGAGGAAGTTTGGGGTAGGCCACGTGGTTTTCGTAATGGTGGTTTTACGCAGCTTAGACGATATTAAGTTGGTTCAACGTTGGTTTATAACAAACCAGACATAATTTAATGGCAAAATGTCTCAAATCTGTATTCTCTACCTACAGTGTAAAGCATGGATGCCACGTGGTGCTTGATGGAATCTTCTGGTCAGGTAAGATCGTATAGTGTAAAATGAGAAATGTTGCTTAGTGTAAAAAACCTGTGATGTTGACAGAGTAGTGGACAGAAAAGATTTCTGAAAAATTCCATGCTGAGGTTTAGTAGTTTAACATGATGTGGGAGTCGACTGCAAAAAATGTTTCTCGCTAATTTTATTACTTTTTTTGTCTTCCAGTTTTGCATCAAGGATGGGTGAGATTAGCTGATGATGAAGTGAGTACTAAGACATCTGGGCAGAATGAATTTGTCAATGAAAGTGACAGTATGTGCCACTATGATGACATTATATTTGCTACTCTTGACTGCAAGAGTGATGAGAATTTCAACCACCATACTCTCAACTGAGGCACACAAAATAATTATTTGAGGAACATAGATATTGTACTTCATTAATACGAAGTCTTTTTTCTCAGGTCTTAAAGAGTAAACAGCCATGGAGATACAGGTGAGCCATTTTGGGGGAAAATGAGTTTTACAAATTACTTTTGGAAATTAACAATAGTTTGGTAATACCTATGCAAAGTACATGCATGGAATGAATGTTTTCCACTAATGTCAAGAAACTGTGATGACTGCATAGTTCAACAGATTAACTGAAGAAATATACCAATTGTCTGTGTCTGAGATTAGTAAAACTAGTTTACTGCTAATAAAAGATGTAAAACTGATTGACTGCTAATTTTAGTACTCTCTGTTTGTAGACACCACCTAGGAATTTAACTATTGGAAGTTGAAATGGTGAGTGAAATATCCAAGAAGGCATGAGTAACTTGGCAAAGGAAATACAGCACAAGGGAGATTTGGGTTTATGCAGTATTCTGTATACACTAAAACATTCAACAGTGCTCAGTATATTAAGTCAGATACAGCCTTTTTCTAATTTGAAATTGAATGCCTGTATGATGATAAGTGAAAACTGACTCAACATGAAGGTCTTATTATTAGCTCTACCTGATGTCAGGCATTGCTGTCAGACACCTTTATAGAAGACAACCTTTTAGTGTTTCTGAAAACTTTATTTCTTTTTTTTTTTAGGTGGACTAAACATCTTTTAGCTGCCAGGTCAGGCTTTGTTTTGGTGAGTATTTAAAAAAACCCACAGCAGAAGTAACTTCTGTATATTTTTTTTGAGCATGCACTTAACAGGGTTTTCAATGATGTTTATCAAATGTCTGACCTGAAATAACCATGTAGACAAATTAACACTGAATAACCCTGCATGTTAGACCATTCTGGGGGGAATTTATTGGTAATACTGATTTTTTTTTTTCTGTGCATGCAAAGTTTATTAGGGAAAACACTTTGCAAAGAGAAACACAGACAAAGCACTGCTTGTTTTTACTGTTAGGTGTTAGAAAAAGTTGGGGGAGGAAGAGAAAAAGGGAGAAAGAGACAGAAGGAAGAGGGGAGGGGGTAGGGAGGGTAAGGTAAAAAAGGTGCAGAGAACCGGGCGAAGTGAAACAAAACAGTGTATTTGGTAATATGATTTTAAGTTTTCATTACACTTTCTTGGAATTTGTTTTGTGGTTTTTATTTGGGTGACTTCTTTGAAGGCCATCAGAACCTAACACCTACTGGCTTAATATTTCTGAAATGCATCTCACTTGAATGTTGTTGGGGATAAGTTGTTTGTGTCAAATAATGGGAAAACTTGGAAAGCTGGCTATAGTTTGATGCTTCAAAGCAACTAAAGAAATGCTTCCTTTTTTTCTCCCCTCCAGATCATGGAAAATTGTTAAAGGTATGTGTTGTATCACTATTTGATATTTTTTAAGCAAGGCTCTGTTAATGATGTTTATGAGAAATGGGAATCTCTCTGAAAGAGAATGAAGAGAGTATTTTAAATACTGAAACAGTATGTGAAAAAAATGTGGAAATTTGTCTATTTCTATCAGAATACTAAATATAATATGACCATGTCTACAGGTGTGAAGAATCTGAGTTTGGATGCTTCTAATGGGACAAGTTTTAAGCAGAGGTATGATGGCCTTGATACATTTATTATGAATGAAAGCCAATACAATGATGATAACATAGTTCAGCAGACTAAACAGTGGTGAATGTCATCAACATGTCTTTCGCTCCTATCTGATGTATCTGGCTGAAATCTCAATTTTTTTGGAAGGGGATACTTAGCCCCTCAGGAAAAGTTAATAGTTTAAATTGAATTTTGATTGAAGCTAACATTTTACTCATTACTATCTTTCAGGATGAAGAATTCATAGATAAAGAATTCCTATTTGGTGAAGTGCAGGTTGGTTAACATTTTAATTTTTTTTAAATTTACTTGTTAGAGATCTCCCAAAGTAACCAGTGATGTAAATGATTCTGCCAAATGAAATAGAATGATTTCACTTAAAAACCGTTCCATTATTTTATTCTGAGGTTACTTAACTGATAAAACTTACAACATACTATGTAAATTCCTGTTCTTGTTAACAAAATCTTTTTAAATTTACAGGTTTTGTGACCATTCTGATTGTACACCTTCCACCAGAAAGTGAGTTCTGATTATTTTGTAAATATGGTTGAAGTCTTAGCACAGAATATATGATGATCCACCCCAACTTGAACTCTCTCACTGATAACTTGATGCTAAATAAGATCTGATAATCTGTACACCCTAAACTGCACATTAAGTTGAAGTCTAGATAATTATATTAAAACTAGCAATTTTTTTGCAGCTTCATGAAAACTCATGAAATGGAAAAGACAGCAGGCTAGTGATCTGCTAGCACCTCCAAAATGATGAGAAAATTAGTTCCTTGTGAGTTTACTTTGCCTTTGTATATGTGATCACTGAGTTAAGATCTTTGTTTTTTCAATAAACTAATAAAGATGGAATTTCAATAAATTTTTTTGCAAAATGTTTCTGTGAATTTTGTTCTAATAACAGGAAAGAAATTAGTATTAAAATTTAGGCATAGAGGAAAATAACGAGATTTTGTGGTCTCAATATTCAGAGTCTAACAAGCAAGTCTAATTTGCACAGTATCTTTACGTTTTTAAAAGGGCATTTTAAAAGAAATTAATGATTAAATTTTTATACTTAGCACCTGACCCTGTCCTTTTAATAGTGTATTTCAAAGTTAGTGAATAAAGATAACATAAATAAGGCCCTTCTTAGAGGCCAATCATGAGTGGCCAGTGCTTGGAAAATAACATGCTGAGAAAGCGGAGGAGACCCCCGGAGGGAGGCCGAATATTAAATTTACTAATAGTAGACAAAATGCTATATCAGGAAATGTTAGGTGCCTTCGAACTGCATACCTCTGGGATTACAGTGCAGCCACTAGGCCACCAGAACTCCCTGATACTTGTCTTTAATGTCTGTTTTTGTTATGTGCATTCAAGTCCCTTGTGATTCATAGTGACCTTATGTACAACAGCCCTAAACTCTGTTCTGTCCTGTGCCAATCACACTGGCTCTGACACTCCCATCCCAATTATCCCAGTCACTGAATCAATCTACCTCATAGAGGGCCTTCCCCTCCTGCGCTGTCCCTCCACCTTCCCAAGCATGATGTTCCTCTCC